AAAATTGTTTTTTTTTTAATTTCCTTTTCTTTGAGGGGGTGGGCCGGGGTTTGCGCAACCCCAATCTGCTTTCAACCCCCCCCTCCCGCCACACGGCCGCAAAGTCGCGCGGCCGCGCGGCCATGGTGTGAAGACTTAGATACAAATGATCCGAACAATCAATATTGCAATGCAGCCCAGAACATACATCATCATCATCATCTCCATGGTGTGAAGGGGTCTGGCGCTCACACAGGAAGAAGGCGCCAGCCCCGAACCATACACAGACGAAGAAGAGGGGGGGTTAGACGAAGAAGAGGGAAAGATGGGAATGTCGTCAACACCAAGTCTTCGGCACAGGCCCAAATAGTCCCTCGTCAAATGTCTGAATCCCAATGTCGGGTCTGGATCCAATGTCGTCAAGTTTCAAGTCACATCTCTCTCTCTCTCTGTAGTAGTCCGCTGATACTGAGAAGTGAGGTGGCGAGAGGGGAAGAAGAGATGGTGGACTTAGAAGAGGAAGAAGAAGAACTCTCTCTCTCTCTCTGTGTCCAGTAATAACCTGTGAAGATGGCGCCTTGATGCAGGTACCTCGAAGATGGAGCTGGAGCTATGGCGCCACAGGTAAGTCTCGCTGGCCTCCGCCAGCCATCTCTCCCCTCACTACCACTACCACCTACTAGCGCCCAACGCTGAAGACCACTGATATGGCTACTAGCGCCCAGCGCTGAAGACTACTGCTAGCGCTAAGCTACTCCTGGCAGCGCTCCTTCTGAGTGCTGCGGCCGAATCCTGAAGACTACTCGTGCCTGCTGTCCAACTACCTTCTTGTGATGGGAAACCCCTATGTACTACTCGGCCTGGACTGGCTGCAGGCGAGGCAGCAGTCCAGGAGGCTGCTCCTGCCAATGCCAGGACAAGCCAGGGGCTGCCGCTGCAGCTCCTGCTGAAGCTGGCGTGGGGAACAGGCTAAGAATAGCCTGTTCCCAAAACCCTGGTTTGTCGCCTGAGTTCAAGGGCAGGACGAACACAATGAGGGCCTGAAAATGGCCCTCCGTTTCAGGCTGAAAAGCCTCTGGGCCTGAAAGGCCCAGAAATAGGCTGAAAACGGAATAGGGCCTGCAGGCCCTCGTTTTCAGTTTCAGGCTGAAACGACCGGGGCCTGTAAGCCCTATTTTCTAGGCTTTTAGGCTGAAAGTGCGGGACGGGCCCTGCAGGCCCGTGTGGCTACGCAGTATGCCACACCCCCTCTCTTTCTCTTTCTCTCGCTCACTCTAGCTCACTCTCTCTCACTCTCCCTCTATCTGCGCACTCTCTCATACTCTCCCCCTGTCTGCGCACTCTCTCACTCTTCCATTGTCTGCGCACTCTCTCACACTCTCTCACACTCTCTCACACTCTCTCACACTCTGCGCACTCTCTCACACTCTTCCTCATGGATGTCAGTCTGGCCCTCTCTCATGCTGTTTCCCGCTCAACTCACCTCTTGCCCACTGATCGCTGCTCCTGAAAGTCGGCTGACTGCAGACAGCGTACTTGCAAGGACGGGCATGCAGCCATGGCTGTGATCCGCTTGCTCTTTAGAAGGGGCACGGAACAGCTCCAGCTCACCTTGGTCACTTCCACGGAACAGCTCCAGCTCACCTTGGTCACTTCCCTCTTCGTCTTGGTCCCGGTTGACTGCCTTGGACCCGAATGAAATGCCCCCTCAGTCCCGCTGATCTGCTCTATATCCAGCCCGTAACACAAGCCCTGGGCCTGGGCCTCAAAAGGAACTTCTGGGATCACTGGCACCAGCAATATCAGGGCTACAGTCCCGGGACAGTGATGGTACCAGGGGTTTAGGACCAGCGGTCCAGGGGTATTGGTAAACCAGCGGAGGCAGTAAAGACCACAACAGTGCCTGAGTAAAACCCTGCTGGTGATGAAAACAGTCCTTCAACAAACTTGAAGTTGAAATCACCTTGTCACGATAACCTGCTGTAGCCGCACCGTTGCCTTTGCAAACCATTGTGAGGCTCAACCAAATTAGAACCAACCGCAACAACCAAATTTGGGTTGCAGGAACAATGCAGTAACCAAATTCTATGCCGCTGGACCAATTGTCGTGTATCTCGCTCACACAAACCATGCCGTTTGTACCAGAGCGAAAGTCCCAACCCCGTCGCCCGTGTGCAGTCCGAAGTACCAACCCGCAAAAACATCCAGCCCCATGTGGTCGCTGATAAACCCATAAGTGTAAAAATAAGAGGGTCACGTGCACACAAAAATAAGGGTCGTAAAAGGGATAGCAAAATAGTGTGAATCGGGGCATCAACACAAGGAAACATAATCTGACACAAAATTAAGGAAGGAAGAAAAATTTCTGGAGACTTGATTCCTTTTTATCATTTATTATTTTATTTTTAATTATTAATATTGCCATCAAACTTGATCAAAATCAATAAATTATTGCTGTTGACTCGGCCTCACAAAATCACCCACGCCGAAGCTCGCGTGCACGTCCACAATCAAGTATTAAAGGAAGTAGAATTTTGGGGTAAAATAAGTCGATAAGAGGGATCTCAGGAATAGAACAAATTGATATTTTTGTTTGCATAAAACTAGGGTTAGTATCAAGAAGTGGACGGGGTAAGATAGAGGTTGGCTTAGGCACCGTATTTTTCTGTTGTCCATCAGATAAAGGAAACAAGAAAAATGTGTCTGAAGACTAACATTGACTCAGAACTCTAATATTTCGGGTGGCCGACTGGCTTCGGCCGCCCGACACCGGTCCGAAGCAGGCCAGAGCCAGCGGAGCCAAGTCCTATATATAGCTGCTACAGTGCAGCGTTTCATCAGTTATTCAGTTGCAAGATGCGAAGCACTGCTACTGCTTGTGCGTTGAGGCAACTTGGGCACTGAGCGCCGAAAGGGAGAGGGCGCCGTGAGACTCCATAGCTAGGCTAGGTGCAGAGCAGGAGGATGGAGGCCATAGCCGCCAAGGTGTACGACTTACCTGAGTGGGTGTATCCAGGGTGACGATCCAGATTAGAGAGAGAGAGAGAGAGAGAGAGAGAGAGAGAGAGAGTTAGGCAGAGCGGACAAAGTGAGAGAGAGGAGGGAGACAAGACATAGGGGGAGAGAGAGAGAGGAGTCATAGCCGCTATTCGGTTGGGGCCCGTTTCATGTGTGTGTATGCGGCAGAGCCGCTGGAGACAACGATCCTTGTATGTTGATAATAATATGGGAGACGACATCTTCAAGTGTTGACTGTATCTCGAATTGGCTTCTCACGTGTGAAATCTCATGTGAATGATCGTTCATGTATGCGAAGTTGAACTTGACGAGTACTTGGTTATTTTCACCTCTCACTTTGTGGTCATATCGGTTGTTCGTTTGTGGCTGGAAAAGTTATCCCCGTACAGAGAGCACAGCATACCCTCCAAGCTTCGATGCCAGAACCACCCTTGCTATCCAGCGGTCACATCCAATCTGGGGAGATTATGTCTCAGCACTTTTGGCAAGTGGGCCAACACCACCGAAATCAGGTCATGATGCAGGCGACCACCCACCAATCACGCCTATGCGCTCGGCAACTGAGAGTGAGATAGGAGGAGGTGACAACTGGCGACTTTATGACTATGTTACAAGGAACTTCATCGCCAGTTTCAGTCCAGACTGCAAGTTCACCAGGTCAGCAGCTCGGGCATGTTTAACCTCCTTGTTTACCTTCACGCAATTCCATATCTGTAAAGGCTGTAATGCTTTTCTTAAAGCATATTAACCCTAGGACTTTCTGGATGCATTTGACCGCACTTATTGCCAGCTTGATTTCCTCGCGGTTCACACTGTGAAGCTACATCTAGCATTTGATGATTATGGGGACATAGCTCTCCAGAGCTGGATATAGCAGGGGAGTCTCGATGCACCACAAGCAAGACAGAGTGTACAGCTAATAACAACTGGCTTTTGCGGTTGGATTTCTGATGCAGGACCAACGTGTCGTTCACTGTTGGTGGGGAGGTATTTTCCTGTTCTGGGAGGTCTGTCACATCACCAGGCTTTACAGCAGTAATGCCATGGGGAGCCATACGCGACGAGGGCTTGCCAGATTTCAACCAAGGTGAAACAGCGCGTCTTGCTGAGATTGAACTGCACCAGGTAAAGACTGTTCAGTCTTTGGGTGGAAGGAGGACATTTCAGCCACCTCTTTTCCTGTGTTCCAGGCATACATTGTCCAGCACACCATCTTTGTAACAACCTTTTAGTCTTAGCCTTGTAGAGTTCAAGGAAGCACTTGCCAATCACCTCTTTCCTAGTGTTGCAGAAGTATATTGCTCTGCAGATTGTGCAACAAGTGCCAACAGCCCATCTTGTGTTCTTTTTCCACCTGAGTTGGTCGGCTGCACTCAGCTGATGTTCGCATTCCTGTCTCCATGCAGGTGCAAGTTTGAATTCGTTTTGCAGGAAAGTGTTCTGAGCACCTCATGCACAGCCACAAGAACACAGAAAGCTCTGTGCTCAGTAGCAAAGCGCCAGAAATAACAAGTGGCTCTGTTATTGCTTGCTTTGTCCATGAACAATCATACTTATTTCTGCTAGATGTTTCAGACTTTGGTTTTAACTGTTCATAATCTGTATCTGATGTGTGCAATCCAGGGACGTACTTCACCACCAGACTACCTCTCGGAGAGTGAGTTGATTTCATTAATGGAGAAGAATGGGATTGGCACTGATGCATCTATCCCAACACATATCAACAACATCTGCGAACGGAACTATGCGCAGGTACTGCAACTCGCTGTGTCTGTTATAAAATATAAGCAGTGCAAAGCAGAAGGGTGCGTGTCAGGGGTCGGGGGGGTTGTTTTAACTCACCTCTTTGGAGTCTCACTTAGCTTATGACAGGTAAATTAGTGCCTGCATCGCAAGGCCATATCTCCACCTCTTTTTTTTTCTTTTTTTCTTTTTTTCTTTTTTTTTTTTCAAACGGGCCCAGTGCCCAAGGCTGATATTATCAACAAGGAGCTTGAGGCCGGGGTCCTCACAGTCTACCCGGAGTGACCAGACCGAACATGCTGACAACCGGGCTCAGCGTTCCTCATATGATGATGATGATGATGATGGTGATGATGATGATGATGATTAGCATGAAAACCTATGGAAGACTATGCTATATCGGCAATTCTGGCCTCCTTTTAAGATCACTGAACACCTCCTGAAATCCACTGCAGTTTTCCGAACACTCGAGTATCTAAGGGATTTCCAACAGTTCATAACAATACTCGCTAAAACCGACTATATTCTCTGACAAACTCATCTAGGCCTCACGCCCCCTTTCTGCTAGGTTACAGAGCGGCGCGACTCACTCCAGCACCGGCCAGTGTCGTCCTATGTCAGCAACCCCCAACTGTCCTTTGGGATGCCCCCCCATAGCATCCCCAGCTCTCTACAAGGCCTCATGCCCTCACCTTCGGCAAGTTACAGGGCAACACCCCGGCTCCGGCCAGCGTCGTTCTGGTGTTGAACAGCTACGGATCTTGAATATAACAGTCTGATTATGGTGTAGATTCGTACAAACCGCCAGAAAACCCTCAGAGTCCCGAGAGATTCTTCAAACTACCAGGAATAACAAGGGTGCTTGTTTTTTGATGAAGAACTAAAAAATGAGTACTATGGGCTTCGACTAAGAATCTTTTTTGATGAAGAACTGAAAAATTGAATACTATGCTATATCAACCATTCCAGCTACCTAAACATAGAGCAACTCCTAGCCCTCCCTATACCGGGGCATTACGACTCAAAGACAGTACTGACCAGACCAACATCATCCATAGCTGACCTCTTCTCACCACGGAGACTATCCCCGACCCCATAGGGTGTCAAGGCGGTCCCCCACAATTCGCCACTGGCTTACCTTCGTCCCTCGGCAAACCCCAGGTCTCTCTGCAAGGCCTCACACTCCTGCCATTGCAGGTTACAGGGTAACACCCCAGCTCCGGCCAGCGTCGTTCTGGCATCGGCAAACTGAGGGCACAGAACAGAGCAACGCTGCCGATGTCAGTCCAGGTACAACCATCTCTGAAATCGAATATCCYAATAAAGAAGAAGACCGGATGCTGCTCTAGTTTTCAGAACCCCGGAAGGCTTAATATACCGTAATTTGTTCAAGRAGCTTCCACAAGTCACTGCGCAGAAAAAATTCCCCCTACCCACGAACCCTGTCCCATGCTGCCACCGCCGAGGAAACCCACCTCGGCCCCAACCTGGAACAGACCCCCTCCTTCCCCCCCATCCGCAARGGCAGCCAATTCCCTCCTAGAGGATACCTTCGCCCTCCCCTTGTCCCTATCTGCCCCCGCCGGGGTTGAAGGCGACCAACTCTCCCACCCCGGCCCCAGACAAGGACAAAACCACAAATCTGCCCCACCCCCGACAGGGCTGCCGCCTCATGGTACAAAGTTATAGATTATGTGTTCATTGAACGAAAGAATAACAAGGTTAGAGAATGCTGTTGTTCTTAGAAAGTGGGATCAAGCCTCACTTCAATTGTTCCTCTCCCCCCCCCCCCCCCCCCCCCCCCCAACTCCAGATATCCTGTATGAACGTACATGGATGTTCATGTTCACTGCAAGTGAAGGCTAGAGGATTACAAAAGGTTAATACATTTACCTCGTGTATAACACTGTGATGACAATGCAATTTCTGTTTTCATTGCAACATGCATAATGAATTGAGCACTACTTTTGAAACGGTATTCACCTGCTAGCAGTAGCGCATGCAGATCCCAGGGCTCGATCCCTAGACTTTACCTTACCTGTGTACATTACCTGTGTCGACCCCGAGAGTTGAACCCGTGACCTGTGTAATCGTAACAGTTGGTAGGTTGTCGTAGGGTCTGTAGGTTGTAGGGGTTCGATCTGTAGACCTGTCAAGCAGAGATCTTAGCAAGTTCTAGAAGTCGTAGCTGCTANCGTAGGGTCTGTAGGTTGTAGGGGTTCGATCTGTAGACCTGTCAAGCAGAGATCTTAGCAAGTTCTAGAAGTCGTAGCTGCTACAGTCCTGAAAGCTGCTACAGTCCTGAAAGGCCAAGTCGTAGCTGCTACAGTCCTGAAAGGCCAAGTCCAAAGGCTTCCGGAAGGTCCGGAAGTGGCCTTTCGAGTTTCTTCTCACGTTTTACACAGTAGGCCAGAGGCAAGTGGGCAAGTGGTGCGTCCAACTTCGCTTAGTCAGCGGTACCCAGTCCCAGTCTCACTTTGCACAGTCAGCAAGTACCATGAGGGACTGTGTGCACCATTGGCCCATGGAAAGAGGCAGACCAACGAGCTACAGAAGTATAAATCAAGAGGCAGCGCCCAGCCATTCATTCATTCTGCGGGGTGTCATACGGAAGCGCTGCCCGAGCGTTTGTGCGAGGTGGTCTGCAGGAGCCCGAGGTCGAAGTGGGCAGAGGGGAAGTTAGTTGTTAGTGGTAGAGTTAGCAGGCGGCCATAGCCGCCAGGTTAGTAGTAGCAGTGTGTGTGTGTGTGTGTGTGTGTGTGTGTGTGTACAGTGAGTGTGCGCGTGTGGGGTATTCAAGGTGTTCCAGAGTGGAGTGCGTGTGTGCGACAGTGTTGGGCACAGTGACCACAATGGATGTACAGGGCGCCTGTGCGCCATAGCTTGTGGGACGAAGTTTGCATCTGAACTGTGTTCGCGACTTCCATATCTCTGAGTTTTGAGTGGGCGCCTAGCGCCAGCCTRYTTGCCATCTGTTGTATGCATGCAAGTTGATGAATAAAGAGAGTCTGATTGCATTGGTATCGGAGCTGGTACCCGTTACTTCGCGCGCCATCGTTGTCAGGCGCCATAGCTGAGCTGCGCCAAGAAGAAGGAAGGTTCACCATAGCCGCGCCGTCGAAGAAGAAGACTGTCCGCCGTAGCTGTGCTGCGGAGGAAGGCGCCGCGTACCTGCAAGGAGGGACAACGAAGGTGAAGGCGGCGGCAGCCATAGCCGAGTTGGCGGACGACCTTCGCGTTGACCAAGGAGTTGACTGAGCATTGACCAGAGCTGCTGACCACGAGATTGACCAAGCTGGAGTTGGTATATTCTCGCCAAGCCTTTAGCCTATTCCCTCGCCCTATGGATGTGCGCTTACCCCATGGTACTTGCTGAGTCTGTCTGTCTCTTCTTTCTGCATTGAGTCTCTTCTGTCTAGGTGATAGGAACTCCGTGGATGAAGGATAGAGCTGCGTTGACCAAACCCACACGGGCTGAGTAGGGCTTAATTCCGTGTCTGACGACCGACACGTCCCGGAGGACAAACCCTCCCAAGGACCGGTACTGACCGGCGGGCTGAACGGTGTGGCACGGGCGGCCCAAAATCCGAGCTGTGGGCTGCACAACAAGCTGTCTAAGTGTTGAGAGGACTTGCTGATCGCGTCGTCCTGTCTGCGACGTTAAACAATTCTTGAGGACTTATGGGGGATCTCCTTAAATGCCTCCTGATCAGCGAAGAAGTCTTGTAGTGACAGCTTAGAAGTAGGTCTAGGCTAGAGACCATAGCTGACAGAGTCTGAACCAGAGTGAAAGCCAGGTGGGATTGACCGCAGGTGCTGGGCATTTGGGTCTGGTTTGTAAAGGACAGTGGTGGCGAAAGCTTTCGTCGGCCGTGGTAACGTGGCTGGATCGAAGTGGTGAGATTTTGTGGTCCGTAGAGAGTCAGTCAGTCAGTTGAGTGGGCAGGTCTTAGTGGTGAGGAGTGGGACTGTTTTGTCGTGCACCTGGACACCATGGACGACTACCCGATGTACGGCTTGCTCATGGGGTTCTCCCTCTGGGGGACCCTCTGGCGTCTTCTCTTTCCACTGGGATTCTGGCACACGATTGCGTGTAGAGTAGAGACGAGGAGTGGTGCGGGCACCACTCCTTACACCCAGGCGCAGGAGGAGGAGGCAGCGAAAATTCTGGCCGAGCAGAAGGCCAGGAAGGAGAAGAAGGAGTTGGTCAAGCAGGCTAAGAAGATTGCCCTGCAGCAGGAGCAAGCCGCCAAAATGAAAAAGTTACAGGAAGAGATGGAGAGAGTGAAGGAGGAGGAAGAAAAGATGAAGGCTGTGGACACAGAAGAGGTGAAGGAAGAGAAGGAGAAGCAGGCAGAAGCAGAAGATATTCCCCTGATAAGCAGGTCAGTGAGAGAAAGGGGGGAATCTAGTGGCACGAAGGGGGACCCATGGATAGAGAAGAAGGTGACTGAGTGGGTTGCCAACTTGTCACTGGGGGAAACTGAGGAGGCGATGCTATACGTTCCCCTAGACGAACAAGAGGCGGTGATAAAGGAGATAGAGGCCGAAGCAGATCCTCTTAAATGTCAGACGATAGAGGAGGAGAAGAAGTTGGAATGGAGATTGCGTCTGATTAGGGAGAAGAAGAGGAGGATGGAGGAAGCTGAGAAGGTGGCGAGAGAATTAGAAGAAGTCAAACAGCAGAGAGCTCAGCTAGAAGCGCGGGCAGATATACAGGGGAAGATGGATGTAATGGCTAGGAATATAGAACGCCTGGCAAAGGCCGTTGACGAGCAACAATTATTTGCCAGAAGCTAGGACGTCACGTTGCGATCGATCCGTCTAGGCTTTCGAGAGTTCGCAAGGGACATGATGGTCCACGTAGGCACAAAGATGAAAGCTAGACTAGAAAACACAGAGTGATTTTGCACTGGCGCCATAGAAGGTGCCAAGTTAGCTGCGCCTAAGGAGGAAGAACGATGTCCCTGTAGAGAGCCAGTAAAGGTGAAGTTCCCTGATCCATATAGTGGGAAGAGGGAGGAGAACTTCAATAATTGGGAGGCGAATGTGAACTTATATGTTCACTTACAGATGATTTCCCCTGAGGAACAGGTCCTCATCGCCTTCCACGCTCTTGCGAGATCGCTCTGTCGTGCAGCCAACTGCAATAACGACATGGTCGCATACTCTCAGTTTACACCCCTGATCGACTTCTTCAAGTTACTGCGTGAAAGGTTTGCAGATGTCACACGAAGCATTAGAGCTTCTGACAAGCTGCAGACCATCCACACTCGCCATTGGAAGAGTGCAAGGGCACTCAAAGGTGTGATGGATGAGCTGGTCGCCGTCCCAGAACATGGGGTCACAGAGACCCAGTTGGTCAATCTGTTCTATCGTGCCATGCCCGAGTCTTTACACGGGCGCTTCTTTGAGAAGAGTCGGGATCCTGCAATGACCTATGATACGTTAAGTAGGGAAGTCGTGGCATTTGAAGTGCGGTCCATGCCAGTTACCACTTTCTGGCATAAGGACTTAGATAAGGGGAAGAAGTGGAAAGGCCGCACCATTTCAGGACAGGTCAAGGGCAAGGATCACCTGATCCTAACTTTAGATGAGGGCGACATGGAAGAAGTCCCCTACGATCAGATAGAGTGGGGGCTTGAAGAGGAAGAGGTGGACAGTAGTGCAAGCCAGGGGAGGACTTACGCCGCTGTCGCGGCTGGAGGGAGGCCGCAAGGAAGAGGAGGAGGCCGGGGCCAAGGGGGCCAGGCTTCAGGTGGTCGAGGGCTGGGCGATCAGGGGGTTGGCGGCAGAGGTAACCGCCAAGCGGGAGGTAGGGGTCAAGGTCCCTCGCAAAACTGCTCTAGCTATAATCGGTCATCATATGGAAGAGGAGGATGGCATCCTGGGTTGCCACAGGGTAGACCGTGGGAAGACTTGGGCTTGGAACAGAGTGTTTGGCAGCAGAGAATTGACCGGGATCAGTGCATTTACTGCGGTAACCCTGGTCATATCATAAAGTACTGCCCCAAATATAGGGAAGCCCGAGCAGCAAAAGGCAACCGCCGATAGGGCTGGCAACTGCCCCTATCCCAGGGCCATGCAGGGAAGAGCGCGCGCAACAGAGAGAAACTCCCAAACTGCATGAGCCCATGGCAGAGGTTGCTGGTCGGTGCCTAGATAGCTGTCCGGAGACTGCTTGTGTTAGAGTCTCTCTAGGCACCTCCCTCACAAACGTGGCAGAGGAGTTGAAGGAGAGGATGCCCGCCTGGGCCAAGATGAAGAAAGAGGCAAAGGGACAACTAGTATTGGTGGATGTAGAGATTTTTAGAGGCAGAGTAGGGGCCCTTATAGATAGTGGGGCCACACGCAGCTATATTAGTAGGAAGGCGCTGCAGAAGTTGAAGTTGGGGTTGAAAGTTCAGAAGTTAGAAGACCCTATTGTTAGTATCCTCACAGACAATCGCACAATGCGAATCGAGGAATATGTAGAGGGAGTCCAGACATATTTTTGCCTAGAGCAGGATGGAAAGGTGGGGAAGGTCCTCCATTCCTTGACTCTCCTCGTAGAAGACAACCTCCCGTTTGACATAGTCCTAGGGATGGACTGGGGAGAGGCAGCAGGGGCCACACTCCATTTGAGAGAGCATGAGTGTAGGCTCCCTAGTCCGTCAGGCGAGGTTAAGACGACCCGCCTGTTTCATGTGTCAGGAGTAGATAACTCACTGGCGCATTGCTGTCTCAGTGCTCCCACGTTCGCGCGATTGGTGAGAAAGGAGCAGTTAGAGGATTAGGTCTTCGTAGCTTATATCAGACCTGTCACTGAGCCTATAGAGGACAGCCCCATAGATCCAACCATCGCCAAGCTGCTGGAAGAGTTCGAGGATTTAATCGAGCCGCCAACAGGAGTAGTGCCGCGACCGATCCAGCATCGGATAGAGATAGAGCCTGGCAATAGGACTCCTAAGGGAGCAATCCTGTTCGTCTCCTTTCGGAGCACCGGTTCTTTTTGTCCCCAAGAAAGAGGGAGAGTTGTGGATGTGTATAGACCATAGGGGTCTTAATGCGATATCAGTGAAGAATGCAGAACCACTGCCCCATATAGATGATCTATTAGATCGGGTGCAGGGCTGCAAGTACTTTCAAAGATAGATTTGAAGTCCGGATATCATCAGATAGAGGTCCATCCTGATGATCAGTACAAGACCGCATTCCGGACTAGATACGGGCACTATGAGTTTATAGTGATGCCCTTTGGACTAACCAACGCGCCAGCTACCTTCCAGCGTTGTATGAACGACTTGTTTAGACTGTGGTTAGATAGATTCGTAGTCGTATATTTGGATGATATCTTAGTGTTTAGTAAGACCCTCCGGGAGCATGAGGGTCATTTGAGGCAGGTCTTGGAGAAGCTGAGAGAAGCTAACTTCAAGATCAATGCGAAGAAGTGCGAATGGGCCAAGACGCAAGTTCTATACTTGGGCCATGTGTTAGATGGAGATGGCATAAAGCCTGAGGATAGCAAAAAAGCAGCGATCAGGGACTGGTCGACGCCCCGCACACTAACAGAATTGCGGTCGTTCCTAGGCCTAGCTAATTACTACAGGAAGTTCGTGAGGAACTTTTCTACTATCGTTGCGCCCCTTCGCAGATTGTTAAAGAAAGAAACAATCTGGTGTTGGGACAAAGACTGTACTTCGGCCCTGAAGAAGCTAAAGCGGGCCTTAATAGAGTACCCAATCCTCAAGGTAGCCGATCCATCATTGCCCTTTGTTGTCACAATTGACGCAAGTCAGTATGGAATAGGTGCTGTGTTGCAGCAAGATGATGGCAATGGGTATAGACCCGTAGAGTTCATGTCTGCTAGAATGCCTTCAGAGAAGGTTGCGACATCTACCTATGAGAGGGAACTCTACGCTCTCAGGCAAGCCTTAGAACATTGGAAGCACTACTTACTTGGGAGGCACTTCAAAGTCTATTCAGACCACGAGACGCTGAGGTGGTCAAAGACTCAGGCCAAGATGACACCTAAGCTTACCAGGTGGGCCGCAGAGATAGACCAGTATGATTTTGAGCTCAAGCCAATGAAAGGAAAGTACAATGTAGTTGCGGATGCTCTGAGTAGACGAGTCGATTACTTTGGGGCAATAGTGCATTACTTAGATATAGGAACAGACCTGCAGCAAAGAGTCGAGGAAGCGTATGTGCAGGATCCTATCTATAGCGACCTCCTTAAGAGAGTTAAGGAAGCCCCGGAGACAGAACCTCATTACCGCACTACTGATGGGTTGCTGTTTGAGAAGACTAACGTAGTTGACCGTTTGTGCATTCCGTACAGTGAGGAGATTCGGAGTTTGATCCTAGGGGAATATCATGACACAGAGAGACACTTTGGTTGGCAAAAGACTTTAGCTAACCTCTCATGCGCGTATACGTGGCCGGGTATGAAAGTTGACTACATAGAGTACGTACGCAGTTGCAAAGTGTGTCAGAGGAACAAGACCACTACAAAGAGTCGAGGAAGCGTATGCGCAGGATTCTATCTATAACGACCTCCTTAAGAGAGTTAAGGAAGCCCCGGAGACAGAACCTCATTACCGCACTACTGATGGGTTGCTGTTTGAGAAGACTAATGTAGTTGACCGTTTGTGCATTCCTAACAGTGAGGAGATCCGGAGTTTGATCCTAGGGGAGTGTCACGACACAGAGGGACACTTTGGTTGGCAAAAGACTTTAGCTAACCTCTCATGCGCGTATGCGTGGCCGGGTATGAAAGCTGACTGCATAGAGTACGTACGCAGTTGCAAAGTGTGTCAGAGGAACAAGACCACTACGCGAGCACCTCTAGGTTTTCTCAGACCTTTGCCTATTCCTGACAGACCCGGAGATTCGGTGTCCATTGACTTTATGGATACTGGGGTAAAGAGTAGGCATGGCAAGAGCCAAGTCATGGTCGTAGTTGATAGATTTAGCAAGTATGCAGTTTTTGTTGCTTTGCCTTCAGAGGCACGAACARAYTTAGTTATAGGGAAGTTTTTCGATCATTGGGTCAGTRAGTATGGTATACCGCTCTCTATAGTTAGTGATAGAGATACCAGATTCACTAGTYARAACTRGCAGGAGTTGATGAGAGTTTATGGCTCTAGGTTGCTGWTGTCATYTGGCCGTCATCCAGAGACCAACGGKCAGACTRAACAGATGAATAAGATCCTGCAGCAAGCTCWTAGGATGTACATTAGACCTGATCAAGTCAATTGGGATGAGATGTTGCCCAAGGTAGCSAGTGCCTATAATAACAGCGTGCACTTAGCCACGTGTCGCACTCCCAATGAGCTGCACAAATCCTTTAGACCACGCAGACCGTTTGAGGGACTTAACCGGGATCAGATTCATAGGCTACCGRCYGSTACTAGGGAGTTTGCGGTACAGCACGAGAAAGAGTTAGCTACCGTTGTTGAGAACCTCAGGAAGGCCCAACACCGAATGATAGAACAAGCTAACAAACACCGTCGCCCGTCGCAATTTCAAGTAGGCGACCTAGTCTGGGTCAAGTCTAAAGAGTTCGCTCCTGAGGAAAACGTCTCGCAGAAGTTACTACCAGCGTACAGAGGACCGTGGCCACTTCTAGAAGTTAAGGGCGGAGAGGATGGGTCGTCCTACACAGTAGAAATCCCAGCACACCTCCACACCTATCCCGTGTTTCATGCGTCAAAGTTGTTGCCATGTGTCACAAGTCAACAGTTTCCATCAAGAAGATCCATGATTCCTCCAGACATGGATGGATGGTACGACATTGACGACATTGTAGGTGAAGACGTGCTTAGAACAGGAGGTAGAGGTCGTCCACAGAAACAGTACAAGGTCCGATTTGCATATCAAGAACCAGAAGACGACCGCTGGTTTACCAGAACTGAACTTCTAGAAACAGGTCCCGACATAGTTAGAGCCTACGAGAGAGATAGGAAAGGTAAAGGTCCTGTCTTGGACTGAGTTATTCTCGGAGGACCTCAAATTTAGGCCGGCGGGAGTGAAACGGTATTCACCTGCTAGCAGTAGCGAATGCAGATCCCAGGGCTCGATCCCTAGACTTTACCTTACCTGTGTCGACCCCGAGAGTTGAACCCGTGACCTGTGTAATCGTAACAATTGGTAGGTTGTCGTAGGGTCTGTAGGTTGTAGGGGTTCGATCTGTAGACCTGTCAAGCAGAGATCTTAGCAAGTTCTAGAAGTCGTAGCTGCTANCGTAGGGTCTGTAGGTTGTAGGGGTTCGATCTGTAGACCTGTCAAGCAGAGATCTTAGCAAGTTCTAGAAGTCGTAGCTGCTACAGTCCTGAAAGGCCAAGTCGTAGCTGCGACAGTCCTGAAAGGCCAAGTCGTAGCTGCTACAGTCCCGAAAGGCCAAGGCCACAGGCTTCCGGAAGGTCCGGAAGTGGCCTTTCGAGTTTCTTCTCACGTTTTACACAGTAGGCCAGAGGCAAGTGGGCAAGTGGTGCGTCCAATTTTGCTTAGTCAGCGGTACCCAGTCCCAGTCTCACTTTGCACAGTCAGCAAGTACCATGAGGGACTGTGTGCACCATTGGCCCTGTGGAAAGAGGCAGACCAACGAGCTACAGAAGTATAAATCAAGAGGTAGGGCCCAGCCATTCATTCATTCTGCGGGGTGCCATGCGGAAGCGCTGTCCGAGCGTTTGTGCGAGGTGGTCTGCAGGAGCCCGAGGTTGAAGTGGGCAGAGGGGAAGTTAGCTGTTAGTGGTAGAGTTAGCAGGCGGCCATAGCCGCCAGGTTAGTAGTAGCAGTGTGTGTGTGTGTGTGTGTGTACAGCGAGTGTGCGTGTGTGGGGTATTCAGGGTGATCCAGAGTGGAGTGCGTGTGTGCGACAGTGTTGGACACAGTGACGACAGTGGATGTACAGGGCGCCTGTGCGCCATAGCTTGTGGGATGAAGTTTGCATCTGAACTTCCGTATCTCTGAGTTTTGAGTGTGCGCCTAGCGCCAGCCTACTTGCCATCTGTTGTATGCATGCAAGTTGATGAATAAAGAGAGTCTGATTGCACTTTCACAAGGCCTATTTGGCCCGTGCTCACAAGTTGGTGCAAATGACTACTCTGCATTCCCACTCAAGTTGGGAATCTCTCCTGGGTGCTGCTGTCAAATGACAGCACTCAACTTGGTGGCACAATGTCGGGCTGCTCAAGCCTTACACCGCCCTTTACTTCCCTGAGAAAATCTGGTGACGAGGACTGGACTTGGTTGGACAAACGAGTTCGGCTATAAGCTTACTAGTGTACAAAGCCGACGAGGCGATGTTGGTAAGTGCTCGATCGAGGAGCGCGAGATGGCAGGATCAGTTGAGACTATTGCGAGGATCAGGGTCCTCGGTAGGCCTAAGGGGCCCTGTTTGCAGCATTGCCCGCCCTAAGTGAAGGCGGGCCTGACATATCGCAAGAGGCCCCCGACTGTCAATTTCATATTTGGGGTCCAGGCAGTTGCGACGCGCCAGTTGGTTGAAAGAAACTCAGGCCGGGCAACAAAGACATTTCCACAGCCATCCGGGCTTTCCCAAAGAATGCAGGCCCTGGGCGTGATTCGCAGCCTCATACAGAGACAGTTGGGCGCCCAACCGAACGAGGCCCAACAGCCCAGTAGCTGCTGTACACAGGCAGCCTCCTGGGGCCTTCCGAAAGCTTAGGCCAGGGCAGCCAGGCGGGGCAAGCAGGCCAGCTCTTTCCATAAAGGAAAGAGATCTCCGCTGGCAGCCTCATTCGGTCACTTGCTGGCTGGCGGCAGCGCTGCTGGAGCAATTGCTCGTGGGCTGGCTGCCGGCATTGGAGCAAGAGGCTGCGCACGTGCGGTCGTGTGTGGGAGCAGGGCACTGCTGAGGGCAGCGCCATAGCCAGCCTCCAT